TTTCCAGGTGGTGGCATCCTGTTACGGGATACCTCGATCGGTTCCACATGGAGACGCCATTCAGGGTTCTTCTCTCCATCCACTGTTTCGACTGTGCCCCACTAGACTTAAGCAGGGCCTATCTGCACATACCGATGCACCCAGCGAGTTGCCATCTCCTTCGAATTGCCCAGCTGGGCCAAGTATTTGAATTTCGGGTGCCCCCCATTCTGGTTAGGCACAGCACCCTACGTGTTCACCAGAGTGATGAAACAGGTAGTGCTGCTGCTTCACCAGATGTTGGTACACCTCAATCCATACCCAGACTACTGGTTACCAACAACCCTATCAAGGGGTTAAAATAGGTTAAAACGCGTCAGGCTAACACAGGATTTACTTCACCAGTTGGGCTCTTTAGTAAATCAGACAAGTCCCATCCCGACCCAACACAACAGTTGGTGTCCCTGGGCATGGAGTTTTGACACAGAGGTATGCTTGGCTTAGCTATTTCAAGTGTGTTGCTTAGCGCTAAACAGCCTAGCCGAATGCCTAGTCAGCGTTCCCTCAGTGTCCCTCCATGAACTAATGCGGATCATCGGAATGATGACCTCGGTTTGAAGGGTCGTTCCCCAGGCCGCACTCCACAGCCGCCCAGTATAACACTTGTTATGGGAACTAGATAGGCGGGTTTCGATCAAGTGAAGGAAGCCCTGCCCTGGTGGTCGTCACTGGCCCCCTTTGACCCACTTGCCGCAGGTATCACTCTGGTAACAGATGCCTCCCCCAGGGTTGGGGAGCGCATCTATTGGGCGAACAAGCCCAAGGACATGGCTCCCACATAAGTTTCGGGACCACCATATCAACCGGCTCGAACTGAGAGCAGTGTACTTAGCACTACCACGCTTTCTACCCGTAGTTCGAGACCACAGAGTCTTGCTCCGCACAGGCAACGCAACGGTGGTCTCCTTCAAGAAGGAAGGGTGGACGCATTCCCCATCATTGTCAGTCCTAGCGGAGCAAATCCTCCTTCGGTGCCTGGAATACAATGTGGAGCTAACCACAAACCACTTTCCAGGGGTGAGGAACAGTCTGGCGACACCCTTTTAGGGCGACTCCATCTCCAGAACACAGAGTGGCTGATACCCCAGTGGGTAGCCTCCAGCCTGTTTCGGCTGGGGACGGTCCAAGGTTAGACCGGTTTGCCATACCCCGGAACACCAAGCTCCTGTCATACGTAACACTCCTGCTGACTCCAGGAGCCTGGGCCAGGGTCGACAGGTGCACACCTGCATATTATCATTGGTTGCACCCAATTGGCCAAGCAGGGCCTAGTTTCCACTTCTGTCGGAAACGATAGTCGAAACACCAGCAGTGCTTCCGGACTTGACAAACCTGCCGTCCCAACCAGACGACGCACTACCAACGAGCCCAGCAGGTATCACTTACATGCATAGAGGCTCTCAGTAGACTCGCACATACGAAAGCCTTATCTGAGCGGGCTGCCAACGTCCTGGCCAGGGCGAACAGGGATTCTACCAACGCGGCCTACATTGCTAGGCTGCAAGCATACACTGGCTAGTGTAGCGGAAGGGAGATTGATCGAAACCATCCCTCTATTGGCCAGATAGCAGGCTCCTTCGTCCACCTGTTTGACGAAGTGGGTTTGTCCTATGCAGCGATTGTTGGCTATAGGTCGGCCTTGTCCCCCACCATTCAAACGTACGAGAACAAGACTAACCGATTGTCCTATTATTAGGAGACTATTTACTGCTTTCCAGACGCTGAGATTCCATACAAGGGAACCGCCCAAGTGGGACTTGTCGGCAGTGTTGTCTGCTCTAAGCAGACCGCCTTTTGAGCCTCTCCGATCAGCACCACTCAAATTTTTGACGTGAAAAATAGTCTTCCTACTGGCCCTCGCCTCGGGTAGGCGTCGGCCAGAGCTGGGGGCATTGTCCTTTTCGGATGATGTACTGTCGTTATGGACAATCAAGTTGTGCTAAAGACACGAATCGGGTTTCTCGTCTAGAGACACCGAATCCCAGGACATGATCCTCAGCCGATCATCATCCTCTAGCTGTCAAATTTTGTCTGCCCGGAGGGTCAGGAGGAACTGCTTCTCTACCCGATTCGAGCACGGAGTTGCCACCAAACCGTACTAGGATTTGGAATGGGGTGCCAAGCACTCATCTTTGTGTTATGGCCCAGGCAGGCAGGATAGGCCGGCCTCCACAACTTCCATAACCAGGTGGTTTACTGCGACTGTATTAGAGGTCTAATACTTTATATTCCTCGACACAGAGCTTGCAGAGACACCAAGTACGAGCGCATGAGGTCTGTGCGATGGCTAACTCGCTAGTGCTAGCGTCAGGTGCCCCCCCTCGAGCACACATGGAGGGCAAGCTTCTGGAGAACGCAGAACATCTTTATCAACCACCATCTAAGAGACACCAAATCTATTGATAACGGTCTTTCTAGGTTGGGTCCTGTCATAGCTGGTCAGTCTTGCTTTGCTGACCCAGCCCGAACGATCGCTAGGGTCCCTGCGCATAGGCAATCAGTCAGTCCGGCATTTTATGCGGACAGATTTCTCTACCATCAGCACTCCAATGGGAGCTCCCAGGTCCCACTCTGCGGCCTATGCCTTCATGCAGAACTGTTTCGGTCTTTACTTCGAAAGCTTACTACCCCCCAGAATTTGGTTGGGGTCTAGCTTTCTCGGGCACACCAAACCCTGTCACCGTAGCAGCATTTTGGCTCCTTGCTCCGGGGACAGCACAGGCAAGGTAAGACACCACCCTTTTTTGGGTCTAGTTTGTTTTCATCCCGGACTGGGAAGAGACTTTCATCATTTTTTCTGTTTGCTCGGAAAAACCCGCCACCTATCGGTGTCTGACTCGGCCTACAGTTCAAAATAGTCATTTTGACTGACCGGAGTCTATGGTGGGTAATTGAACGTAGTGAATTTAGGTGAGGGTTCTCCGAACCCGCCTATTCACATAGTTCATACCCACCATAGACTCTGGTCAGTTCCCCTCCCCCAACCTTCCTACTCTTTCCGTCAAGTTGGTCTAAGTCCTGGAGGCGGAGAGAAAGGAACCAGAGTGATTGACGGCTACCTATGGCGCTGTCGTGTGGCCTCGGTCACAGTAAGTACCAGTAATATTTCTTTACTGTATCTTTATGATAAGTATAGTTTTAGTTTGTAGAATAGTTTGTTATTCCTTTATTACATTTGTATTCACCTAAATTGAATTTCTTTCAATATGGTTGTTATAAAGAATTATCTTATCTTATCTTATATACTATGGTTACAGCTCGATATTCCGAAGGTTCAATATTACAAAGATAATCACATTTTAAGCATTTGTACTAAACACCATATGGTTCCGTGTGATTGACACTGTGCACGTGGACCTGTGTTGCCCACAGACAGATAACTTGAATACACATGATCTAATTACAATCTGTTTCAGTTAGGGTTCGAATGCACATTTTCTGGTTTGTTGCATAATACATTGAGAACATTAATCGACAGAGGAAAAGAATGTTGCAGTTTATGTAGGCAGAAAAAATAGTAAATAAACTGTTTTTTTGCGTTTGTGCTTCTGGTTGTTGAGCAATACATTGCAGTTCTGCTCAGGGTCCGCATTGTTGTGGTTCATCTAAAAGTGTTTCCATGGGGAATTGCGTAAATAAATTAAGAACCGAAATCGAAATGCAGCAAGATGCCTCACTTTGTTGCCATGTTAAATACTCGACTTCTTGTACATTATACCACGGTTACTAAAAATTATCTGTGATTATACGCTAAATTACAGACAATGACCTGTAGGTTGGCGACAGATCATTGTTGAAATATTTTACCCACATATTTCTGTTGATATTTGATGATCATTTTAAAAAATTTTGAACCCCAAATAAGGGCCCACCAGCTGTGAAATTGCCCAGGACAATTTTTTGGATGGGTGAATTTACTGTAGAATCCGGTAGTAACAGACATTGATTAATAAATAATCTTTGTTCATATTTGTTAAGATTCTGTTTATTAACCATCATGTATAAATAACAGGTCAAAATTGAATACTAGTAATTCTTCTACAAGGAGAACACGAATAATAAAATTTGCAAATTAGACAAAATTTGCTTTCATTGTGCAAAACATTCCCGTCATACAGTATATTATTTATATAAGGGACATTGAGATTAATACAGTACATGTAGAATCAATTCAGGAACACGTTGACTAGTATTTTCTTGCCAAATTTTACTTAGATACATGTATGACGCTAAACCAAACATTTTTAGAAACTATTATAGAACTCAATTATTCTACTAGGAACATTGAGATTATTACATGTACTGGTACATAACATATTATTTGAGAAAAACAAAAATTAATTAATTTCTTTATGTAATTATGATGACTTCATTGTCCTTGTTCTTTTTTGGTCAGAATAGTTCCTGCATATATTTTAGCCAATATTTGCTGTGCAAAATTATTATTGCAATGTTTCAGGATCTTTAGACCTATTTTTGCATCCAAAGAAAAGATTGTATCAGACGGCAAATTCGTCCATTTGTTACATTTTGTATATAGTTTCTCTATTGGCAAGGTGAAAATTAATAATGTTTGCAGGAACAATTATTGCCTTCTAAGAGTTAATTAACATAGTATTTTTTTTGCTGAATATGCTACTATTTCACTAGATTTATGGTTTGTCTTTGCAGAACACCAACATATACGTTATAATCCTTTGAAAGGTGACTGGGTTCTTGTTTCTGCACATCGCATGAAACGTCCATGGAGTGGAGCCACTGAGAAACCAGCTGAAGAAAACATAGCACGACACAATCCAAATAACCCATTGTGTCCAGGTGCCACTAGGATTAATGGGGAGGTGAGACAATGACAAAAGATGAGAATTTACAAATTTATGTAAACATATTGGATAAAATATATTTGTGTGAACATTGTGGGTAGAATATATTTATGTAAATATTGTGGGTAAATATATTTATGTAAACATTGTGGGTAGAATATATTTATGTAAACATTGTGGGTAAAATATATTTAGGTAAACACTGGGTAGAATATATCTATGTAAACATTGTGGGTAGAATATATTTAGGTAAACACTGGGTAGAATATATTTATGTGAACATTGTGGGTAGAATATATTTATGTGAACATTGTGGGTAGAATATATTTATGTGAACATTGTGGGTAGAATATATTTATGTAAACACTGTGGGTAGAATATATTTATGTGAACATTGTGCGTAGAATATATTTATGTGAACATTGTGTGTAGAATATATTTATGTGAACATTGTGGGTAGAATATATTTATGTGAACATTGTGGGTAGAATATATTTATGTAAACACTGTGGGTAGAATATATTTATGTGAACATTGTGCATAGAATATATTTATGTGAACATTGTGGGTGGAATATATTTATGTGAACATTGTGGGTAGAATATATTTAGGCAAACATTGTGGGTAGAATATATTTAGGCAAACATTGTGGGTAGAATATATTTAGTCAAACATTGTGGGTAGAATATATTTAGGCAAACATTGTGGGCAGAATATATTTATGTGAACATTGTGGGTAGAATATATTTATGTGAACATTGTGGGTAGAATATATTTATGTAAACACTGTGGGTAGAATGTATTTATGTGAACATTGTGCGTAGAATATATTTATGTGAACATTGTGGGTGAAATATATTTATGTGAACATTGTGGGTAGAATATATTTAGGCAAACATTGTGGGTAGAATATATTTAGGCAAACATTGTGGGTAGAATATATTTAGTCAAACATTGTGGGTAGAATATATTTAGGTAAACATTGTGGGTAGAATATATTTAGGTAAACATTGTGGGTAGAATATATTTATGTGAACATTGTGGGTAGAATATATTTAGGCAAACATTGTGGGTGGAATATATTTATGTAAACATTGTGGGTAGAATATATTTAGGCAAACATTGTGGGTAGAATATATTTAGTCAAACATTGTGGGTAGAATATATTTAGGCAAACATTGTGGGCAGAATATATTTATGTGAACATTTGGGTAAATATATTTGAAACATTGTGGGTGGAATATATTTATGTAAACATTGTGGGTAGAATATATTTAGGCAAACATTGTGGGTAGAATATATTTAGGCAAACATTGTGGGTAGAATATATTTAGTCAAACATTGTGGGTAGAATATATTTAGTCAAACATTGTGGGTAGAATATATTTAGGCAAACATTGTGGGTAGAATATATTTAGTCAAACATTGTGGGTAGAATATATTTAGGCAAACATTGTGGGTGGAATATATTTATGTAAACATTGTGGGTAGAATATATTTAGGCAAACATTGTGGGTAGAATATATTTAGGCAAACATTGTGGGTAGAATATATTTATGTGAACATTGTGGGTAGAATATATTTAGGTAAACATTGTGGGTAGAATATATTTAGGTAAACATTGTGGGTAGAATATATTTAGGTAAACATTGTGGGTAGAATATATTTAGGTAAACATTGTGGGTAGAATATATTTAGGTAAACATTGTGGGTAGAATATATTTAGGTAAACATTGTGGGTAGAATATATTTAGGTAAACACTGGGTAGAATATATTTATGTGAACATTGTGGGTAGAATATATTTAGGTGGACATTGTGGGTAGAATATATTTAGGTGGACATTGTGGGTAGAATATATTTAGGTAAACATTGTGGGTAGAATATATTTTGGTAAACATTGTGGGTGGAATATATTTAGGTAAACATTGTGGGTGGAATATATTTAGGTAAACACTGGGTAGAATATATTTATGTGAACATTGTGGGTAGAATATATTTATGTGAACATTGTGGGTAGAATATATTTAGGCAAACATTGTGGGTAGAATATATTTAGGCAAACATTGTGGGTAGAATATATTTAGGCAAACATTTTGGGTAGAATATATTTAGGCAAACATTGTGGGTAGAATATATTTAGGCAAACATTGTGGGTAGAATATGTTTATGTAAACATTGTGGGTAGAATATATTTAGGCAAACATTGTGGGTAGAATATATTTAGGCAAACATTGTGGGTAGAATATATTTAGGTAAACATTGTGGGTAGAATATATTTAGGTAAACATTGTGGGTAGAATATATTTAGGTAAACATTGTGGGTAGAATATATTTAGGTAAACATTGTGGGTAGAATATATTTAGGTAAACATTGTGGGTAGAATATATTTAGGTAAACATTGTGGGTAGAATATATTTATGTAAACATTGTGAGTAGAATATATTTAGGTAAACATTGTGGGTAGAATATACATTTGTATTTATGTAAACATTGTGAGTAGAATATATTTAGGTAAACATTGTGGGTAGAATATATTTAGGTAAACATTGTGGGTAGAATATATTTATGTAATAATTTGTTCATTTATTCTACAGGTAAATCCGAATTATGAGAGTACCTTTGAATTTGATAATGATTTTCCTGTATTTTTAGATGATGGAGCGCCCTCTCCAGGTAATATTTATTTCTGACTATAGAACTTGTACAAAATACTGTGTCTATTATTTTCATTTCTGTGAATTCTAGGTAATCTAGAATGTGTAATAATAAGCACAATAAATATGAATATTACAGTGTTGAGTAACAGTGTGAATTCTCTCCAAGTCTGGCTTTACCAGGGGTATAAACCTGTGTGCCTTCTAACATACAATGGTTTGGTCATCATTTATGCATCAAAAGTCACTGTTTTTGGTTGTGTCATTTAAAATCCTCTTGTGTCATTGATGCATCAAAAGTCACTGTTTCCAGTTGTGTCATTTCAAATCCTCTTGTGTCATTGGTGCATGAAAAGTCATAGTTTCTGGTTGTGTCATTTAAAATCTTCTTGTGTCATTGGTGCATGAAAAGTCACAGTTTCCAGTTGTGTCATTTCAAATCCTCTTGTGTCATTGGTGCATGAAAAGTCATAGTTTCTGGTTGTGTCATTTCAAATCCTCTTGTGTCATTGGTGCATGAAAAGTCACAGTTTCTAGTTGTGTCATTTCAAATCCTCTTGTGTCATTGAATGCATCAAAAGTCACTGTTTCCAGTTGTGTCATTTAAAATCCTCTTGTGTCATTGGTGCATGAAAAGTCATAGTTTCTAGTTGTGTCATTTCAAATCCTCTTGTGTCATTGATAAACAAAAGTCACTGTTTCCAGTTACCATATTTTGACAATAGACATACAATGTTTTGACCATAGACACATAATATTTTGACCATAGACACATAATATTTGACAATAGATGTACCATATTTTGATGATTGACACATCTTGTTTGGTTGTACATGTAGCCACACCATATTTTGACAATAGACACACCATATTTTGACAATAGACATACCATATTTTGACAATAGACATACCATATTTTGACAATAGACATGCCATATTTTGATGCGGGACACGCCATATTTTGACAATAGACACACCATATTTTGACAATAGACACGCCATATTTTGACAATAGACACGCCATATTTTGACAATGGACATGCCATATTTTGATAATAGACACGCCATATTTTGACAATAGATGCACCATATTTTGTAATTCGTTTCCCTCATGCATGTCGTCTTTTATTTACAATGTATCTAGCAATATATAGATATAATGACAGCACCAGGGCTCGCTGCCGTTTCTTTCCGGTCTCCTCGTGTTTCAAGTCGACCGTGCAGAGGTTATATTCAGAATTTACCAGCATAGAACCCGCATCCAAGATACTTTGTCATAGCTACGTGCGGGGTTCAGGGTTTTTGTGTGAAAGCATGTTTTTTTCACTGGAGTTCTGAGGCCTGAGATTTTCTTTCAGAGCCATCAAAATCGCTGAGACTGACCGAGCCGAGTCACAGCAAGGTTGCGCGTCCAGTAAACAAATCGGTTAAAGTGAGTCGCGTGTTTTGCATGAGTGAAAAGTCCTCACGCTTGGCTACCAGTACTTCATTTACCAGGACGTCGAGTAAGAAGCCCGACAGTGAAGGTACCGATATTTTTCTCGGTCTCCCCCGCTGATCAGAGGGCATCCTCACAGTCTGTTTTTTCAGGCGGTGTTTTACCCGATTTTACCGGCTGT